TGATGATGGATGGATGATGGATGGATGATGGATGATGGATGGATGATGGATGGATGATGGATGATGGATGGATGATTACTGGTTGTGTCTACAGGTTAATGAATAAATTTCCACACTCACCATTCTCCAGGAATTATCCTGTTTCAGTTTTGAAATGAGTAAATTAACATTTAAACTAAATGCAGCTACTCAACATCAACGCCAACTTCCTGAACTTGTGGCGACTCATCTTGTTTGTAAGGATGTTTAAAAATATAAGTCTGATTTACTGCAGTTAATACAAAAAACACAAAAGAAAAAACTCCCCTGTGTCACCTCATGAATTGTGTCTCACACCACATTTATTTACTGGAACTTACAGGAAGTAAAATTATACTTCCTGCATGTTTCAATAAAAACACATTTTATAGTTAGAAATGGATCAGAAATGCACACAGAGGAACCTGGCTCTGCAGGTCACAGGTCAACCAGGTAAACACTCAGGTTGTTGTGAAAATGACTGTAATTGTGTGATTACAAAGGTCCTCCTGAACTCACTCCTCTGACTAATAAATCTGCTGAATGCAGAGGTTTTTTCATAAACACCAGTGTGTCACAGTGTTGATAAAATATGATGTTTTTGTTTTTTTCCTCTTCTTCCCTTGTTTGTTTTTAGTTTTTCTGTTGTTAAAGGTAACACAACTGTGTTTGCTGCATGACCTTGTTTCACCTGTTCTCCCATGTTTGTCTTGTAATGTCTTCTTGAATGGGTGTGTCTTAACTGGCCCCTCCCCCTCCCTGAATCTACAGCACCTTGTACATTTGTTTCTGTGAAAGGTACTAAATAAATAAAACTTTACTAATTAGAACAAGCTCAAAAAGCACAGATATTTAGCTTAGATATTTATGAAAACTCTCATCTACAGTCCTGAAGGAAAGTTTAACACAAATCTGTTCAGAGCAAACACATCGGGTAAATATAACGACATTAATTAACTTTTTGAATTTGTTCAATTACAATGTCTTTTCCATAACCTCTGTTTTTTTTCTGATAAATACACGAGGTTAGCTCACATCATGCATGTGCATTTGTGATTATTTCTAACTACAAAATGATCTATTCATCCAGGTTGATAAGATATTTTGCTAACAGAGCTGACATGATGTTTACATCAGTGGATCTTATTGCTACGAATTAAAAAAACATCAAACATTGTAAAGAAAACTTCAACCGGAATAGAAGCAGAAAAATTAGCTTTGTTTTTAGGTCTAATATGTTCCTGTGCTTGTTGCATCATCCCTGCTGCTCTGTGGGTTCTGCTGGTGCCGTGACTGGATCCTTCGAGCACAGAAAGGCTGTTTCTGCCCAGAACAGAACCACAGATCCCAGTTCTTTCCTCACATGTTTGAGGTTTCACAGGAAGAAAGCTGGACCGAGCCGTGTGCCGAATGTTGTCAGAAATATCAGAAAACAGTTAGTTTTCCTGCCCCCACAGGTCCCAGTTAGTTTTCCTGCCCACAGGTCCCAGTTCACTGAGCTGTTTGACTTTAGGAACACGGGTCACATGTTAAACCAGCTGAAACAAAAAGGTTTTTTACATCCAAACTTTATCAGCTTGGATCAGTTTTCAGATCATATTTTAATGTTTGCAGCTAAAATTTTTCTTTAATATGAATGAATGTGGGCAGAGCTGATCAACATACAGCAGGTAAAATCAGTGTTGAACACGTCAGCATTTTTCTCAGTAAATATATTACTAGAGG